TCTCCACTTTTTGTCATGTTACAACCAAAAACGTAAATGTATTTTTTTTTTTTTTCAGATTTTATGTGATGGACCAACACAAAGTGGCACATAATTGTGAAGTGGAAGGAAAATGATAAATGGTTTTCACATTTTTTTTTGCAATTAAATATCTGAAAAGTGTGACGTGCATTTGTATTCAGCCCCCTTTACTCTGATACCCCTATCTAAAATCTAGTGGAACCAATTGCCTTCAGAAGTCACCTAATTAGTAAATAATTACCTTCGTGTAATTTAATCGCAGTATAAATACAGCTATTCTGTGAAGCCCTCAGTGGTTTGTTAGAGAACATTAGTGAACAAACAGCATCATGAAGGCCACGGAACACACCAGAAAGGTCAGGGATACAGTTGTGGAGAAGTTGAAAGCAGGGTTAGATTATAAAAAAAATATTCCAAGCTTTGAACATCTCATGGAGCACTGTTTAATCCATCATCCAAAAATGGAAAAAGTATGGCAGCACTGCAAACCAACCAAGACATGGCCGTCCACCTAAACTGACAGGCCGGGCAAAGAGAGCTTTAATCAGAGAAGCAGCCAAGAGGCCCATGGCAACTCTGGATGAGCTGCAGAGATCCACAGCACAGGTGGGATAATCTATTAGTTGTGCACTCCACAAATCTGGCCTTTATGGAAGAGTGGGAATAAGAAAGTCATTGTTGAAAGAAAGCTATAAGAAGTCCCATTTGCAGTTTGCAAGAAGTCATGTGGGGAACACAGCAAACATGTGGAAGAAGGTGCTCTGGTCATATGGGACCAAAATTTAACTTTTTGGCCTAAAAGCAAAACGCTATGTGTGGCGGAAAACTAACACTGCACATCACCCTGAACACACTATCTCCATTGTGAAACATGGTGGTGGCAGCATTATGTTGTGGGGATGCTTTTCTTTAGCAGGGGCAGGGAAGCTGGTCAGAGTTGATGGGAAGATGGATGGGGCTAAATACAGGCCAATAATAGTAGAAAACATGTTAGAGTCTGCAAAAGACTGGAGTGGAGGTTCACCTTCCAGCAGCACAACGACCCTAAACATACAGCCAGAGCTACAATGGAATGGTTCAGATCCGGGGCGTCAAACTGCCGCCCCTGCAGCTGTTGTGAAACTACAAGTCCCATCATGCCTCTGCCTTTGGGAGTCATACTTGTAACTGTCAGTCTTGCAATGCCTTCTTCGACTTGTAGTTTGGCAACAGCTGGAGGGCCACTAGTTTGACACCCCTTGATCAATTCATGTGTTAGAATGGCCCAGTCAAAGTCCAGACCTAAATCCAATTGAGAATCTGTGGCAAGACTTGTAAATTGCTGTTCAGACACTCTCCATCCAATCTGACACAGTTTGAGCTATTTTGCAAAGATGAACGGGCAAAAATGTCCCTCTCTAGATGTGCAAAGCTGGTAGAGACATCCCCAAAAAGACTTGCAGCTATAATTGCAGCAAAAGGTGGTTCTACAAAGTATTGGCTTTGAACACAAATGCACGTCACACTTTTCAGATATTTATTTGTAAAAATTTTTGAAAAGCATTTATCATTTTCCTTCCACGTCACAATTATGTTCCACTTTGTGTTGGTCTATCACATAAAATCCTAATAAAATACTTTTACGTTTTTGGTTGTAACATGACAAAATGTGGAAAATTTCAAGGGGTATAAATACTTTTTCAAGGCACTTGTAGCAGTGTCTCAGAGGGAGTCCTGTTCAGGTTTTACTCCTCTCCTCTGGGGTAGTTTAGACTCACCTGGAACCTGCAGTCAGTGCTGTCATTCCTGGAGAACAGACAAGTCCTGTCTGAGATTGCTGCAAGGGTGGTGGAAGCAGTGACACCGCATATATGGAGACTGACAAGCATTTGGCTTGCTCACCCTGTTAGCCAGAATTTGTATTTCTGTAGTGATTGCCGGGGCACTGCTAGAATTTTGCTTTGTAGTTTTTGCTTTGTTTATTTTTTCTGGAACACCTGTAAATAGCACTAATAAATGCCCCCACTGATTGTCACTACCTCACTGGACTGGGTCTTGTACCTAAAAGTGTGCTCACCCTAGGGAGATTTTTTATCTGCTACCTATCCCCAGCTCACATATATATATATATATATATATATATATATATATATATATATATATATATATATATATATGAGAGAGAGAGCGATGGAGAGATGTCACAGTTAAAAACCTAGAATTTGCTATGTGTGATCAAAACAAGTAAGTATTTTTTTTCAGAAGATCAAAGACAAATTGAATTAATCATTTGCCAACCACCCAATAGCAGATATACTGCTACAGGGTGGCCATGCTGTGCAGACTCGTGTATATAAATGTAATTCTGCAGTTCCTGGTTGCGGGTGTGCATGCGCAGCACCAGTGGTCTGCTTCTGCTGTAATTGGTCACAGCAGAAGCAGATCACCAGATGCTGGCACCCACCGATTGTCTTGGACAGGGGTCTACAAACTTTCTGAACAAAGGGCCAGTTTACTGGCCTTCTGACTTTACAGGGGCCGGACTGGCCATTGGGAGTAGAAATTTGCCTGGCGTCCGTGAGTGACAACAATGCATCTTTGGTATTAGTGGGAGAAATAGCTCCCCATAGCTGGTGTCAGTGGGAGAAATGGTGATCTGTCCTTGGTGTCAGTAGGAGAAAAAATTCCCCATCGTTGATGTTAGTGAGAGGAATAGTGCCCTGCTGTTGGTGTCAGTAAGAGGAATAGTGCTCCATGGTTTGTGTCAGTGGGAGGTATAGTGCCCATTGTTGATGTCAGTAGCAGGAGTTATGCCCCATTTTTGGTGTCCGTGGGAGGAATAGTGTCTTGTTTCAGGGTAAGGAAAAGTGCCCCAAGGGCCGGGTAAAGGAAAGCAATGCAGCCCCTGGACCACAGTTTGGAGACCACTGGTCTAGTAGACTGACAGAACACCGCTCTGCCTATGTAAGGGTCCTTTCTCACGGGCGCCCTGTTTTTCTTTTCAACAGTGCAGTCGCGTTTTGTTTTTTTTTTTTTTTTTTTAATTGGAGCTAAACAGATCAAGACTTTGATATTTTTTATCAGTTCACATGTTTTTTTTTCACCAGTTTCTCACCAGTTTTTTTTACATCCTTTACCAGTGAAAAACAGATGCAAAAACGGACTGTATGTCAGTTTACATCCATTATTTTGTCTGTTGCCTTTTTTCTTTTACTGAAGAAAAATAGGGGTTTCTTCCGTTCAAAAAAATGGATGTTAATGGATGCGGACATTAGTGGATGTAAATGGATGATCATCTGTTTACATCCACTAGTCCACAGAAATACATGGGTGTCTGTTTTTTCAATCGTAAACGGACAGATGAAAAACGGCATATGGAACACCCGTGTGAAAGAGGCCTAAGGCAGAGCTGTGTCTTGTCAGTGGCAATGTGCTGGATTCTCTTTCCCTGCAAGCAGCACATTACCTAGTGGAAACGGCACACACAGTAAACATTACACATAGGTAACCCCTTGATCCTCATACATATTTAAACCCCTTCCCAGCCAATGTCATTAGTACAGTGTCAGTGTATATTTTTTTATCACTGTATTAATATACTGTGTAATATACTATTGCAGCACATTTCAATAGTTCCATATTCTTGAGTTATCTTTCTATCATGTTAATTGCAGGGTAAGCATTAATTGCGTGACAAAGGATTCTGTTAGATTAATAAAGCCATTAAAACCCTCTGCATGCTGTGTGATAATGTAATGGATACAATAATAGGAGTGAATAAATAAATATAGTAGTCTAATAGCCCACAGTACTTCTAACATAACAAACAGATCTTATAAAATATTAAAGGAATACTGTTTATTACACAATAATGTATATGATTACATATTGTGCCTCCAGTTTAAAGGAATATGTTCAGCCAAAAACCTTTAATACCCAAGTATTGGATAGCGGGAAAAAAGCTCTCTTCCTCAAGGCTCAGCATTTTTTTTCATTATGTGAATTAGACTGAATGCACAAAGCTAACATACGAGAATAAAGACACCAATTTTAAAAACAATGACAGTTGCTCCTACAGCCACCACAAACCACCCCCCCCCCCCCCCCCCCCCCCCCGTCAGATTCCCATTATTGTCTAGTGTTCTACGTATTACTTAATGGTACTATCACAAGGGACTGTATTCATGTCTATGGGTACAATAAGATACTTTCTTATATATGTTAAGGGCCCCTGCATGTGTGCCATTGTCGCAATATATAAAATGGTATTAAGATATGTAACCATTTTTGTCTCTTTTCATGCCCTGCGTTTTTATAAAAGAAATATAGATTATGTAAAAAATAAAACTTTTTCAGTAGAGTCCAAAAAGATTTACAAATTAGAGTTACATGACTGAAAATACAGATACTTACTCTTGTGTACCACTTTTATTGAGTTTATGGCCACTATTTCTATCAGGACACATTCACATTTAGGCCTCTTGTACATGCCACACACTTGTTACTGATCTGAACCCAGGTGCATTGTTGTCCATGGAACAATGCACACAGTTGTGTAAAGATCAGTAATAAACGATGCGATGAGAGCTGTAAAATAAAAATGAAAATTTTACATTTGAGTGCAGTCATTTAACACAAGTGGATACATGCATATACACACATAGATTGCAACACTGGCCACTAAAAGACGATGAAGAATTTTAGACATGTATACATGCATGCGCGTTTACATATTCATACACAAGGTCTTTCACTGAACATTTTACTCAGGATTTCTCTGCCAACAAGATCCTGCTTATAAAAATCAGTAAAATATTACATGATTGTGCAAGGCTTGCTGTTGTTGTTTTTTTGTTTTTGTTTTTATACTATAGTATAAGTAAAATAGGTCATTCAGTTTGTCATGAGATATATTAGTGAAAAAATCAAGATATAACATTTTCTTTAAATAAAACCAGGTGTAATATGTTTTACCAAATATCTTTTGTTTATCCACAGACATGAACTACGCACGGTTTCTTACAGCAGTGAGTGCAGCAAGACAACCCTCACCTATACGAGCTCTGAGTAAGTTCTGTGAAGCAGCAGAGAATGTCCCTTCTGGGATAAATATAATGCTGGTCCAAATTTCTGCTTGTTACTGCTGAGTAGGATGTGCTGAAAATGCATATCCTACTCCTACAAAGGAAGCTGAAAAAAACAAAGGACCCAGTAGGGAAGACCATGATGGTTTCAACTTTTATGACTGGTTCATTGAATGATGAGTGATGAGTCGTGGCAGCAAGTTGCAAAGCTTCACTTTGGAGCAATTGACAGATTCAGTGCAGGTCTTAAAAATGTTTGCAGTGACCTATCAAGAGGCAAGAGTTAAAGGATAAGTTCACCTTTTTATTAAATTTTATAAATACAATTAATGTTATGAGTAAAACAATATGCATTGCTAGAATTAAACCATTTTAACCTGGAAAGCACTGCATTCATGACTATTGTACCAAATGCAATCCTGAGGCTTTTGCAGACTTTGCTTCAAGCTAACGTCCGTACGTGAAATACAAATTTTCAGTTAGTAGAGTTCATGAAGGATGGCTGGACTACAAATGAGATGACCTTATCACGTTACTACGTCCAGCTGTCCTTATGGACTAGAAATCTGCGGCTGAAAGCGTTCAACAAGAACACGCACTGTTCCAAAAGAACCTGCGTGGGAACTTTCAAACCCCCTTATGTTCTCACTCCCTGCACAAGAGCAAGCTGGTTGTTGGTGCTATCTACTCTACACATATATTAGCCAAGCAGCTTCAGAAGAATTAATTTAGCAGCTGCCCACCTTTCTGAAGCAACTTTCTAAAAAGTCCCCTCCCTTATTCCCTCCATTGCAGGGAGCAGGGATGTTGGCAACTAGCTACTCCATTGTAAATAAATAACAGCTATTACAATGTACCAAATGATGGTCTTCAATAAGGAGATACTCGCACACAGCTGGAGAAAACCTCGCTGGATGTACTAACTAGGCAGAATGCAAGCTGTCAGTGTGAGTGGATTCTGCATGTCCAGATGTGTTCTCTGACACTGTATCAGCACAGATAATCATTGACCATCATTTGTTACAATGTAACAGCTCTCTGTGATTTGTCTACATTAAAGTTATCAATTGTGGACATTCCTGCTCTTCTGCTCGCTCTGTTTCTTTCATGTTTGATAAGTGACAAACCTCCTTGATTCCTGTCTGAAGGTGCTGGGGGGTAGAATATTAACCCACAAGCTGCCAGAAATCTTTCAGCTTATATTAAAAGAGAAAAAAAATTATATATATATATATATAATATATAATATATATATATATATATATATATTTACACATTTTCTCATGAATACTGTATACATATTTTATGTGTGAGTTTGACATAAATATGTATGCTTATACTCTAATTTGACTCGGTTTGGAAGAAAATGTATTTCTTCCACAACCTGCCTTTACTATTGCGACAAAACGAGAACAGACTGGAGAAGTTTTTCTCTGGTCTGTTACTTTGCAGGGGTTTGGGAGGGAGGGAGGGATGGAGGGAAGAAGACAGCTGAGAGCAGAGTCTGATTGCTAGGAGGAAAGGAGGGAACGTGCTCGTGCTCTGAAGACTCATCTGCTGAGGTGGCAGATGGGAAACGTAGTCTTAGCACAGTGCTGACTGCAGGGAGTGATGAGGAGGCTCTGTGGAGCATAGGGATGCACAGCAGCACTGTTTTTGAAAACAAGCAAAATTTAACAGAAGGTACACACAAGGATTGTGACAAGAATGCAAATGTCGATTCCTGATGTCATGTATGCCTCCATGCTACATGTTACATCTATATTTAGGGGAGAAAGGTGAACTTATCCTTTTAGGAAAAAAAGCAAGCACTCAAATTAGAAATGTTGAAAATCAGTGACATCCACAACTGACTGAAGAAAATTTAGTGTAAAAATGCTACAGTTTTAGTAAACATCGAATATTATATGGATATATATAATAACCCTTTTTATTTTGGAATGATAATTAGAGATGCTCTATGATCAGGGCATACACTTTAATAACATCAACATTGTAATAACAATTCAAGTGATCGTTATTGACAATCCAGTATCAGCCTACTTGAAAGATCTCCTTTCATGTTTGGATTGCTGGCCGTCCCTTTCCTGGATTCCCTGCATGCTTTGCAGCTTCTCCTCTGCTGTTTACTTTTAAATTCTAAGAACTATACTGCATGTCTCATGGTACTTTTCTACCTACAAGCAGTGGTTCCTGTACTAACTCCATCTCCTGAAACTCCTCCTCTGAGCACCTCTGTAGTTCAGAAGGCAGGCTCTGTAAAATGTTTGACACAGTGTAGTGCCCACCTACAGGGCATAGTAAATACATGTCACAGAATTCAGGGAATGTGTGGGGATCTTCACAAGGCAAGTTTACAAAATTCAAGATTGTTCATATTAATAGGAGTACTATAGGAATAATTGAAACTCTGTGGAAATGAATATATAATATATATATATAATTTTTAAAATAATATATATAATTTTTGCCCATAGGTATGTTCAAAGCCTAACTCTAGCAACCATGGATAAAGCAACCCCATGGGCAGTGAGCTTTTCTAATGGCAGCATATGTTAAGTGTAAGCACTTGCTTATTCTCTTTTCCCGGTTACACTAGGAATCAGAAAACAGAGGACCTCTCATTTGTAAACGGCACCACCTGTCATGGTAGCCACCTCTGGTTTGCCACCTCCCATATTTCACCGTTAGTCATTTAGGTAGCCCATCATAAAACATGCTTGGTATATACATAGATCTATATTCAAACAATAAAGAAAAAGAAAAAATGGGGCCCTCACAATAGACCACTTGGTTTTTCTGCCATCACTCTTCTATGTTTCTCTCATAGTAAACGGCAGATAGCGAGACACAGAAGAGGAGGAGCTAAGACCTGGCAAACATAGACAGTAGGTTTTTAGTCCAATATTGATAAAGCACTGCTTCAGGAAGGTCCACAATGTCCTTTCACAGGTGCTCACATCAAGGTGTCCGCCAGGCATGCAACCGTGAAAACTCAAAAAGAAAGAGGATAGCTGCACACTCCAGTGGGACACTGAAAGTCTTTAGTGCAAGAAGCCAATACTAGACATAGCAGCACAAGGATTCCTAGGAGATCTGTTGACGTATTTCATCCTACAGAGTGCTTACTCCAAAACACACTGTATAGGTAAGCACTCTGTAGCATGAAACGCATCAACAGATCTACTGTGTATCCTTGTGCTGTAATGTCTTTTATCGGCTTCTTGTTGTAATACAGTCTTTGGATTTTGAACTGTCCCACTGGAGTGTGCAGCCATCCACTTTTTCTTTTTCAGTGGTTTTAGTAGTCCTGGGGTGCTCTACAGGTTATTGGAGCTGGCTTACAGATATATGGAAGTGTATGTACTTAAATGCACTTTTATAGATTATATTTTTTCACAGGTTTCCTTTCATGTAATACAAATGACATACTCATGCCTTATATTAATTTTACAGATTCTCTTCAGCCCTTGAGAATGCTAATTCCCTGATTGTGATGCCAATAGTCGCTATCACTTTCTAGTTAACTTACCTGCAATGAGAGACTATAAAGTTTCTGACGCACACCCCCATACTTTTTTTTCAGCCAACAATTTTTTGCATGGTGTGTATTTTTTCTGAAGAGCATTAATACTTTTTTCTCTAGGCCACTTTTCCTGTGTAATCTTAGGGAGTGTAAGCACTGTGGAGATTTTTTTTAACAGCATTTACATTTAAAGACCATGTTACGTTTTATAATAGTGTTGATTTGGGGGTTTAATAGCTCATTTGTAGCGCCCAAACAGTACATTTTCTCCACGCCAGAGATATATTTTAGGGTTTTTTTCTACCCACTTTTATTTAAAACAGAGGAAAAAGTTCACAAAAAGTCTTCCCACGCAGGGGTTCTCACCATCAATCAAACATAACATTATTCAGCCTCATGGCTCTTTCATGCAGCTTTTCAGCACAGCTTAGCAGTGTTGGCCCATCAAACACATCCAATGCTTGTGCACTAACCACTGTATCTCAGCTCTGCATCCTTTCTGCAGAGTTCTCATGGACTGTCTCTCATACTCAGAGGCTCGTGCCTCAGACTGTCCTTACCTAGACAGGTCGGTGTAGCATGCACCTCTTTCACTGCTCCCTTGAAATCACTGACCATCTCAGGGGGGTGGGACCCTGAGATGTATATTCGTCAAACTTGAGAGGAGAAACCATCTCCACACATTCATCTTTTATAAAAAGTGGTCCTTTACCTGAAGGAAAACCATCTTCACACAGTCCTTCTTCCGGGTTCGCGGTCTCGGGCGGCTTGAATGACAGAGCCGCATTGATGTCATTCCAGCGCTTGTGCAAGTCTCAGGTATGGGTATGTCAGTCCTTCAGAGCGCATGCGCCGGGTCTGAAAAAAATTCCAAATGGTGAACATTTAGGGGATATTCATTTTAACTACAGGTAAGCTTTATTATAAGCTTACCTGTAGATAAAAATTAACAAAGTGGCTTTACTACCACTTTAACATGCTATATCTAAAGGTTTTCCTATTGATTACATAAACAGGATTAAAAGGGTGTTGATCTTTAATTGGTTCATCATTTTGATATCTATACACACTGTAGGAATAGGTTTTTTTTCTACCCCCCCCCCCCCCCCCCCCCATTTTTGCAAGTCAACAAAAAGTAGCACTAGGTAGAAATGGACTATGTTACCATAGTCATGTGAAAAAATGAAAAAAGTATAATAGTGAATGTGTAGATGTGTATATTTGACCTAGACTTTTAATCTGTTGCTGTATGTAATGTTTAGTATGTGGGAAGAGGTAATATATTACCAGGGTAAATGCATGACCTCCGGTCCAGTAAAAGTACCCCTATAAATGCTGACAAGCTCATTTGCCATGTTTGTCACAATTGTTTGCTGTGTGAGCATAATGTATATTTAACCTAGACTTTTAATCTGTTACTGTATGTAATATTTAGTATGTGGGAAGAGGTAATATAT